TCTGCTAGGTTTACATGTGCACTGCCCTCCAGAACACTGTACCTTGGAGTAACCTCTACCAAGACACACAAGGGCAGGTTATTTCTGTTCAAACACATGGTTACACCTCTCTGCAGGCATTCCTGCACCGGTCACTCTCAATGCTGTTACATGCTTTTTGTCATCTATTTTAACAGATGCCATCTATTGCCATCAGTACCCAAAGACACCATGGGACTCAGTTTCTGAGATTGAGCTGGACTCTGTACATAAGACTGAATGTATGGACACATAGCAAATGCATTAGTATCAATGATCCATGATGTGGTACCAATTCTAAAAAAAGTCTTGACAACATAAATTAAACTACTTAGGCTTTTGGATATAATCAGCCCCCAAACACAGTAACTCTTGGCTAACTAACGAAAAGACAAAAAATATTTTCTCAGCTAAAGGAGAAATGTCAGCTTAATAAGGGAAGTCAAGTCTCCCAGGTATCCACCTTTCAGAGACAGTGCATGTAAATTCAAAGGGAAATCTAAGATTGTGTAATCAGAAGAGGGCAAAGACTTCACTCATTAATTAAATGTAACTAAGAGTCACAGATCTGTACCTGTATGGAAGCCCCATCATCAGTTCCTTCAGAGCTGTCCAGCAGGAAAAGGATTGCATTCCAGATATGAATTGCAAAGTAAATACTGTTAAGATGCTGCTTGGAATTTGCATTTTGTATTTATTTTCCTCTGTAAAGAAATCCTACTTTTCCAGTAGGAAGGGTGCCTGTGGAATCAGGACCTGAAGGTTACAACATAAACAATTTCTTATCTGCCACATGTTATCTTGTAGGAATGGTTGCTTGACCCAAGTGTAGAGCGTATACCTTTAGCTGAAAAGGTACATGAACCACAACTAAAATGAGTTCTGATTTACCTTGCCATACTACTCTGGAGTATATTGTCTTTTAATAAAGTCTTATCTTAAGTAAAAGTTAGCTTAAGTAAATTACTTTTGTGTCATCCCACCATTACCTTGACTCCAAGGTCAAAGAAATTGCAGGAACTTCCAGGCTCTTTTTATTTTTTTTTATAGTGCTTTTAAATAAATGAAATCAGTTCACAAAATATTGATTATGTATATTCTGATACTTAAAATTTTCATTAAATCAAATAATAGGAAAGAAATATCACAGCAATGATACACATTGTTAAGAGGAGTGTGAACTTTTAAAAAACAAATTACAACTCTTTAAGCCCAAATGGAAACCAGAGAATAAGTATTAGCTATTTTTTATTCATGTTTTCTGTATTCCCATGGTCTTAACACTGGCATTTCTTCTGCTCTTTCTTTTCTCATAACAATAGTGATGCACAGAGCACCACTGAAGATCTTTTAATGTAATGAATATGAACACTTGGGTTCTTTTGCTATGATAATCTAAAAAGATCAGTTCCTAGTGCCTATGTTAATGTGGTCAGACCTTTTCAACTTCTTGGATTATTATTTTACTCTCATAAATTACCCTTGACGGGCTCGGTGAGCAGAGTTAACAGATTAGCAGTTTTCTAGGTATTTAAGACTGTATATGTTTGAGAATAAAAAAGCATTGCTTATTCAGGTTTTCGTCATATTTCAGATGTATTCAGTTGTCTCTCTGGAGGCCTTCCAACACAGAACATACACTAGCCATAGTTGAATGAAATCCAAATACCATTGCTAGGTAGTTGTTGTTATTAAAATTACTCCTTTTACTCCCACCTGTAAGAATAAATCAACATCCCCTTTACCAGTAAAAACCCAAACAGCTGTTCCTACCTGAATAACCTAAAGAATTACAGATCAGATTAAAAAAAACCCTTTTACTTAGTTTGAGTCTCAGTTTCTCAACACTATGCCAAATAACAAGAAATAACATAAAATTAATTTGAAAAGACAGTAAAAATGGGCCTTTTAAGGCATTTACTATAAGTCTGATTCACAGTCCTGAAAGCTCTTATGATGATTTACTTCCAAAAAAATTTCTGGCATGGATTTAGTCATAAAACATGAATGAAGAAAACCACTGAAATACAATTATGCTTTACAAAACACTAGAAAAAAGTTTCAGAGATACCAACAGGCATTTCTTCACTGAGTTCTGTATAAGCACACAGTTTATAAAAGCCTAGTTGCTATAAATATGATCACAGCTCTCTATAGAAGCAGTATTGTTATGTCATGATATCAGTATCTTTTTCAAGCCTCATAGGTAAGGAGATATTTAGCTGATCAATTGAATGATACAATTTCTTCAGAAACTACCTAAGAACCTTTACACTTTGACGAGTTTCTCAGCCTTGCCACCTGAGTACCTCCTGCCTCTCAGTTCCAGAAAACCACTGACAGGACATCTACAGCACATGAGTGTTTTGATCCCAGCCCTTGTGCCAATGCTTGTACCAATACAGAATTCCTTGTGCAGATACTCACCATCTGAAAGCAGGAACAGGATGAGATAAACCAGGGAAATTTTTAAATTCATTTAATACATTAAATGCAAATTTTAATCCTCTGGCGTTTATGCATAACACACGGCTGTCCAATATTTTAAGATGTGCCGATGGATGCTTAAGACATGCAAAACACTTTTTCGTGATGTGACTTCACCCTCACCCACCCAACAAGCCATCACCATGGGCCCCTGGAGACACGGCACTGTACACATACCTCATCCAGGGGCTGACCAGCGGCCACAGGCTTGCCCACTGTTTGACCAGCGTGTTTGTGTGGCCCCAACTATTTAAATGATGCCACGTGCCTGTCCTGTTAGATGCAGCCACATGTGGCCACCAGAGAAGGCCCTTCAGGAGTGCTGAGGGGCAAACAGGGCAGCAGGAGCTGGTGTGGGCAACAGCTCTATGAAACCACTTGATACAGGAGGGCCCTTTTCCAAAGGCAGCAGCGGGAGGTGCACGGGTTGCTCGGTCAGGGCCAGGCACAGGCCAGCCCCGAGCACCCACCTCTCCCAGGGACCAGCCAAGGGAGAAGGGCTGCCGGCCAGAGCCCCGCAGGCTCCCCTGCTCACTGCTGCTCCTCTAACAGCACTGAAATAGGCACCCTTAGTCAAGAGTTTTTCCGAACACCCCACTCGCAGACGACAGGTCAAGAGACCTTCAGTGCTTTTTTGAAAGAGTTACATTTCACATTTGTCCCAGACTTGAGCATCTAATCAGTTGTTGGGCAACTGACTGGATACAACAGGGAGAAAAACTTCAGATTAGAAGTCCCAAATAACTAAGACAGCCTGGTATTTAAATCAAACCAAGGAGAGACACAAAATACAGATTTTTTTTCTAGTGCTGAGACATACTTGAACAGCATAAAAAGAGCTGACATCCTTCATTTAATATCTCTTACAGTAAGGGAGACCAGATTAGCTCAGAACTAGTCATGTAATGCATTGTATTTGACTTGATATTCAAATGCATCAATACAGTTACATACTGAAGTACTATCACATGTAAAATTTAGATTTCTAGGTGAGCAAGTGGCTAAGATTTTTTTCTTGCCCAACCAGACATTTCCCAGAAATGTATAAAAATTACTTCATCTTTTGCCTCACATGCATTTGAACTCAGAGAAAACAGAAATGTACAAGAGACTGCCATTTCCATACCCTGCAAGAGAGTTGGATAAAACGTGAGACTGCTGTAAAGACTTGCCTACTGGTGGAGTCATCAGTGCCTGCATGATTTCAGAACTTTCACTATATATGTTCATTCATTCTCTCCTGTCTCGTATCGCAGCCAGAAAGACACACACTCAAGCTGCCTGCTCGCTTTTTGTACTCCTCCTCCTTCTGCACTGTTACCCCTCTAGCTTACCCTTCCTTTCCCGCCCTTCTTCTACTCTTTATATCCTCCCCCTACAAAATTTTACTTACAAAATTTACCACAATTTCAGACATTGCAAATCATAATTTTGCTCCATTTACTTGTACATTAAAACTCCTATCACTTCGATATAAACTGCAAACTTTCTGGAGAACTGAAAAATCCTTATCAGTGTTTGAATGGTTAGCAAATGGAGACCTTCCAATGGGATCACGCACAACTGAACACCATAAACCATATGACAACATCATAACAGTTTTGCTTAAATGCTGCACATACAATATATCTTATGTATATACCTTGAAATATACAAATATATATGGGCATAACTATATAAAATGCTTAAACACTTTATATATATATATATGTCATGTAAATACAAATTATCTCTTTCCATGTAAAATACACTTGTCCTATACAGCTTCCTTAATTGACAATGAGAGCCTTTCAGAGTGCATTATATGGATTTTCCCTGAAATAGGAGGAATAGAAAAAAAAAATACATATGGTAGTAAATGCTTTAGGCATAAAAGCAGAAAAACTCTCCATTTTTCCAAGGTAGAATATTTCAGTATCAAATTTTAACTGAGATAAAATGAAATGAGGAAAATTTATACCAATGGTGAATATGCTTGTAGGCTGAAAAGAAATTAATTAAAAAGCAATAAAACACTTGCACTAAACTAATAAAATACAACAGAACATTTTTTTAAGGAAAATTGTTTTGTTTCAAAATAAGGTTACGTTTTCAAATGTGAAATGAAGTCATCATATTTAAATATGCATTTGTGACAAAAGCAGAGGAGTTTTGCACCATTTCAGCGACCCTTCACAAACTTGCAGTAAGGATGCCCCCCAAGAGAGGTACAGTGGCTCATGTTGGCTCCTGAGAAGCAAGCAATTAGTAGATCAAGCAGGTTACAGAAAGCAGAAAATAAAAGCCTCAGTCCAACCTGAAAAGGATCTTTGCTAAAAAAAGAAAATAGTTTAGTAAATGTCCAGAGAAAAAAGATGTTTGACCATTTTCTTCATTCTGTAGAACATTGTTGATTAGACAAGTTCAACAGGGCATCCAAATGATTAAACAGTAATACGTACACATTATGTACATTAAAATGATAATTTGAGAGGGGAAAAAAATCCAGTTCCTACCAGTTTGGCTGAGTTGTGACGTGCTACGGCTTTTTCGCGAGAGACCCACAATGGCGACCATCTTTGCACCGATGCTGGAGCGTCTCTTTTTGCCACCACCACCAACAGTGCCCACTGCGGTGTCTGACTGGCTGCCGTCGTTCTTCTCCAGCGTGTACATGTCCCCGCCGATGCTGGTGCTCTTAGTCATGTTCTTTCCTGAGGCGCCCATCTGTCTGCTTTGCATTTTGGATGTAAAGACACTGTCAGCCAGTGGATGGATAAACAGCGCAGACAAAGAAGAGTAAAAAGGGGAAGACAGAAAAGGACAGGTTTCAGATGGAGGGTTTTGGGAGACTGGAGGGTAAAAGCAACTAATTCACACAGGTAGGGTTTGGTTTTTGAGAGGTGAAAGGGAGCAACTTTAATTCTAGGTACCTGTTTGCTCTCCTGTAAACATACTTGACTCATCAAAATTTTGTTTAAAGTGACAAACTCTTATTTACTGATTGTCTTAAAACATATTATCAGCAAGACCATACCAAAGAATTAATACATCAGTATATCATATCTATATTTTTTGCTTGGGAAACTTAAATTCTGCAATCAGTGCTCTGCCCCCTTCTTCTCCCATATATATACACAAATAATGTGTATTCCTCTGGGAAACAGATATTTGATTCAATAGAGTGGAAAAGGCTATCAGTCTGAAGTCTAGCTTTGGTTTCTAAACATTCAGACATTTCAAGAATGTCTTCAAGTAATGTGCTTTAGCTCAGTCATCTTACAATTTTCATGAAATTGCACAGTAATGAACAGCCATAGGTTTTTTGTTCCCTCTCTTCAGCAATAAATACATGCATTATATATGTATTTCATACAACACTGTTGCTATGTGACATAGATCACCATAACTAATAAACGGAACTTAATTCTAATATAAATTTTCCACTCATTTACAGACTGTTTCAACATGTTCTGTGTGGCATCATCTAAATTATCTGCTGTAGCATTTCACAAAATGCCCCAGGAGCACCTGATCTGCCAGTGGTCCAGTCTAAGTGACCTGTCCATAGGTAAGCTTAGGAAGTGTGATTAGATGAGTGAACAGTGAGGTGGATTGAGAACTGGCTGAATTGAAGAGCTCAGAGGGCTCAGCACTTAAGCCTTGATTATTCTGTTCAGTACAGTGCATCTCACTGAAAATTGCCACTAGATAGTATTAGACAATCCACTAAACAGTGGAATATTTCTGGAAACCAGGGGAAATTACTCATTTTTTGTCCAAAAACATGCAAAAGCTATTCCTAGAGCTTTACCACTCAGTAAATGCCCATAGAGTAAATTTTAGTGGGTATAACCATACTCCTTTCCCCTTACCTGTAATGGCGTGAATCTATTCCAAAAAAGGAAGGTTATATTGCTTCTGTATGAAGTTTTTATAATACGTGTTCTGGCCCACAAACATTTAATACAGCGCCCCCAAAAGCAAATGTTTCACTGGTTCTCTTCCCACTGACTCAAAGGAAAATGGGATGAGGCATCAGATTTGGAACAACTGCAACTATTTAAGGTATTTGAGAGGTACCTCTAAAGTGCTTTGCTCTCTAGCTGACAGCTGCATGTGCATGAAGGCACAAAGTGCTCCGGGTTAAGCCACAACACAGAGGAAAACATAAGGGGTAGTTTATAGAAGTGGACCTCTGCCATCAAGACAAAAAAATATCAGGTCTGCTTCTGAAGGAAATTATAAAGGAAAATATGAATGCGAGTTTGGATCAAGACATGGAGAGGCACAAAAGAAAGCTGGGAGAGAGACTTAGTGGCCTTGCCTGGACAGACTATAACAAAAGACTGCAACACAGCAATAACCCAAAAGTTCTTTTCTTATCCTTTTTTAACTCTCTTTGTTGTTATATGTTAATGCACACTGACTCACATTGGTACGTTGAACACTAAGGAAGGAGTCGGGTAGGAAGCAAGTAAAAAGGAAAGCAGGGAAGGAAAAAAAAGTGGACCTCTATTTCTAGGGATTTTTAGCATTATAGTAGCTTACTTGTAAGATGATAACATCACATGCTTTATTTTCTTTCAAACAAAATGATTGATAGGGATTGATTCCCAGAAACAAGATGCCACAGAAACTAGTTCTCAGTTTCAACATTACCTTGCATATAAGAAATACTGGACATCTACGAAGAACAGTGTTGGGAAACGATAGCATCTTCAACTTTACCTTATGCAAAATTCTTCTAAGAATCAGAAAATTAGAGCCCCTTATCCACTAATGCTATTTTTAACCCCAGTTCTCTAAGAAATACGATTAATATGACTGTGTTTTCTGTCAGGTCTCTCTTTTCAGTATTTTTTTTTAATAGTTCAAATTTGACAGGAGTAGAAAACTAGAGCTATTTAGTTTCTAAAACTGTTTTGAAAATAGATCCCTGGAGAGAGATCTTATGAATGTCCCTGTGGGGAAAGACTGTAGCAAAAGTCATTACTGAATCTCCGTTATTTCATGTGGGAGCTCATTCGCACAGGACAGACTAAAAGGGGAAGCAACATTTTTACTACTTGCAGAGCAACCGATTCCAATGATCCATTTTTCAAGAATGATATCCAGAAAATCAGTGGGTTCCTGTTATATTTACTAATAGGAAATAATAATTATAGCACTACTTTATAAGTGATATTAACATTTAGGAAAGGTCTTATGTCATAGCAGTGAAAACAGAAACAGAAATATTCTCTTTTCTCATAAAACTTACACTAAGGAGAAAGTTCCCATTTCCTGAGTCTAATGTGCCTTTGAAGTGCTTCATGTGTCATTTCCCAAGATGTATAATTCTATTTAAGTGCAATGGATTACAATAATTATGCTTATTAAAGAAATCGATGTGCTTAAAAAGGTTGGCATGCAAACAAAGTTGCTATAATTTCACTATGCAGTACCTATGAAAGCAGCATGCATTGCAAAAATTTGCTCCCTGGCTGCTGTCTAAAGGCTTCTTTACCACAAAATCAAGCTTTGCTGTTTACAGCACGAATAGCGTGGCCAGCAGGACTAGGGAAGTGACTGTCCTTTGCAGTCAGCACTGATGAGGTCCCACCTCAAATACTCTGTTCAGTGCCCCGCACTACAGGAGGGGCATTGAGGGGCTGGAGCGTGTCCAGAGAAGGGCAACAAAGCTGGTGAGGGGTCTAGAGCACAAGTCTTATGAGGAGTGGCCAAGGGAACTGGGGTCGTTTAGTATGGAGAAAAGGAGGCTGAGGAGAGACCTTATTGCTATCTACAACTACTTGAAAAGAGGTGGCTGTTAGTCTCTTCTCCCAAGTAACAAGTGGTAGGATGAGAGGAAAATTTCTTCACTGAAAGGGTTGTCAAGCATTGGAACAGGCTGCCTAGGGCAATAGTTGAGTCACCATCCCCAGAGGTATTTAAAAGGCATGTATATGTGGCACTCAGGGACATGGTTTAGTGGTGGACTTGGCAGCATTAGGTTTGTGGTTGGACTCGATGACCTTAAAGGTGTTTTCCAACCCAAATGATTGATTGATCCTATGATTCTCAGGCACACTGCCTAGAGGATACAGACCCTGCCCCATGCTATCTCCTGAACTGTTCCTGGACTGAATCAGGGGCACATTATCAGTGTGTCCTGCATAAAGTTATGATAAGGAGGACAAAAACTTCTTAAACAATGTGGATGATCATGGGATGGTGCTTAAGATTGTGTCCTGGCACTGTCTAGTTTGCTGGTATAGACATAGCCATAAATCCCATAAGCTTTTTCTGTATGCTTTTGAAGAAAAACAGTAAGCAAATACAAAATTGCTACCCATACATCGCCTTCTGGAAAATGCAATGTTAAGTTTCTGGATTTCTTAAAGGCATTTATCTTCAAGATCTCTTTGCAGAAACCCACTTATTTTCAAAACAGGGAGTGCAATTATTCTCTGCAATCAAATTTGCTGTCAGGGTTTCCCAGACTCCTACTATAGCAGATAATGACACTACCTTGTTTTTCTCCCCAGTTTGTCAATATCTTTGCTGAATTACAGAAATACTAAACAACACTGCCAGATAAATTCTCTCAAAATACAATGCCTATGACTGGCTATTGGAAAACGATCCCTTTTGGAGCTGATGGACAGCAAGGGAATACTATAAAGTGCCTAAAGGAATCCTCACAGAAGGGAGGCAGAAAAGTAAGTTTTGTATGATCTTTGCTTCAGTCTTGGTACCTCCTTCTTCAGACAGTCCATTTCCTTGTTACCTGACCAAGAAGGAAAGCAGTTGTGTGTGAGATTTGGCTTAAGGAGAGGAAAGATTTCACAGTGTGAAAGGATCCTGCTGTAAAAGCAGAGAAACTGTTTTGAAACCACTTTAAATACAGCTGTATAGCTAGTCACTCTTGCACCAGGTAAGATGGACAGCAGTGTGGGAAAATGCTCCACATCCTAGATAAAAAGGTTTCAGATAAAATCCTTGTTTAATCAACATTTTTGGATGTTAACAAGTAAGAAACAAGTCAGAAACTTCATCTAACCTCTCCCAATTTCTGACTGACTTATTAATGCTTTAGAGGTGCTTAATAATCTTACAAGAAAATACTAATTTTAGAACTAATTGATCATATTCACAGCTGCTGTTACATTTCTCATGAAACAGCTGCAGATACACTGAATCCTCATTGTTTCATATGTATCAAATGGAAAGTCTTGTCCTGTCTCCATAGTTAAAAACCTGCAGTCTTTGGCCGCAACTTTTGAGCCAGTTGCAAGTTGGACAACACCTCACTAGTTGGACAGATTCTTGCCTACAGAAACAGAAATTTGTTATAGAAACTGGCTGATTAGCACAGTAAGCACCAAATTTCCTCAGGAACCTTTTTAGGCCAGAAAAACAAAACAAGAGAAAACACAAACTAAAAAAACCCTACTGACACCTGGGAGTCCTTATGTTTATCATGCCTGTTGAGATTTACAATATGTGGCAAACCAACCAGAATGGGGATGGAAGAACTAAAGACAATGACTCCCTTGAAAGTTGTTACTGATATAAAAAGCAATTATGAAGTCCCACAGCTTAAAGAACTTCATTAAGATTTTTGCAGGCATCCTATGCTGCTGCACAGGGCAGTACTGCCCGTTCTGTCTGTACATTAATTAAGCAATACAATTGCAAGCATCAAGAAAGGCTAATCTAGGAAAAATATACTGACTCAGTGTTTGTCCATAGACAAGAAATACAAATGACAAA